GATTTAATGTATAATCGGTTTAAATGTGTTTTGAAATACAATTAAAACTGATTTAACACTAAATTCAATGAATTCAATATCAATTCAATGGCAGTGAAACAACACAACGCTCGCAAACAACGTAACCCTTTTGCATGGGGTTTGGGTGGACACAAAATTACACATTTAATAATGATTGAATGTGGTAGATTTAATGAATATATGATTTAATCATGGGAAAAGGTACAATTAATCTATGGTAATTATTTTACAGATTAATAATTGATTTGTTTGCGTAATAATTATATTTATTACACTTATTGTGACAAAATGGTCGCATAAATATGTATAAAATCGTAACACTATATGTGAATGGCGTGTGGTTTGGACCGAAACATGTCGGGAGAAGTGTAGGGAAAGTATTGAGACATTGGATGCCATCTGTTGTCAGGCTTTGTATTGCTTTGTAAATGCATTGCATTTTTGCCATTCATTTCTAATTTGGCCAAAAACTGAGCGACAAATGAAATGACGAAATATTGAGAAACCCTTTCAAACGCCAAACCGATTGTCACCTAATATTGGGTCACATTTTGGGCCACAAATACTCACACATTGTCTCCAATAAACACATCATTTGTTTTCTGTTTCAATTGGTCTCTCATTTGGACAATCAGTCGATTGATTGTATCGTCCGATCGGTGGACCCATTAGTGGCGATCAGATGGACGATATGGTGAGACGCGGTGTCAGCGGCGATGACGACCAGATCGCGTGCGGTTACGCCACCGACGACAGCACCGCCGGCACCAGCAGTAGTGGCGACAGTAATGACAGTCTGGGACTCAATATCATACAAAACCTGGACTTGATTTATATGAACCAATTGGAGGACAACACGAGTCAGTCGTACACCGATTCAGTCGACGAGAGGTCTGTATAGCACTCGCCAGTCGTGTCAATGATATCACTGTATCTAATGGTGTGTTTGTATTGTCTATTAGACGCCAGTGTTGGCTGTGTTTAGGTCAGGACGAGGTGTCGTCACGGCGTCCGTCAACCTCTTCCCTGTCGTCGGATGTGTTGCGTTCGTGCGACCAATGGTTGAGTCCGTGTCGATGCAAAGGTACGGCCAAATGGATTCACAACGAGTGTCTTCAGCTGTGGATCGACGAGAAGCAAAAGTTGGACACATCGGTGGCCGTCAAGTGTTCCCAATGTAACACACAATACGTACTCGTCTTTCCCCCAAACGGTTCGTTCATTTGTTTGGATCTACTCTTGAATTTTGTGACTAAATTGTCGATCTATTTGTTTTAATTGAAGTCATTTTCTTTAGGCAAACTAATAGACGTTATCTTGTATTACGAGTCGATGGTTAACAATGGTTCGACACTTTGTTTATTTAAACCACAATTTAATGATATTATAAAATGTTTGATACCATTCAGTGTCGACGTATGCGATGGTGTTGTGTATTGCGGGCGCCGTATATATGAGTGCATTTAGTTATGGTGTTCTCACATGTCTTCAGATAATGGGTTTGTTTTGATCGCAACTTATTTGTAAGCATAAATCAATTGACACTAATGTATGTATTGCTGTGTTTTAGGGGCTGAGAAGACATCGGAACTGATCGAGTCGTCGAATAAGTCGGTGTCACTGATAGGTCTGCCATCGATTCCGTTCATTCTGTGCGCCGGAAAACTGATAAATTGGGAAAATATGGTTCTCCGGCTGTGGCGAAGGCATTACCGCAAAATCCCGTTGATATCGTTCTTCACGGGCCGACCCGCCGAAGGGTTCAACAGAGAGAATATGGAACGCAATCTTCTGGGTCTGGAGAACGCGGTGCAGATCGAGCGCAACAACGGTGTCATCAATCATATCGAGATCAACGTCTCGGGCACTTCCATCTGCCGCGCCTTTTGCGGCGCTTTACTGCTGCCCACGTTTGCCAAACTCGTCGGACAATGTCTTTACGATAGCATCGATTCCAATATCCATAAGACTCTTTTGGTATGTATTTCTGTGTGTGTTTTGTTTGTTTGGAAATTAACGGATCAATTGTGTGGTGATTCTTAGGGCGGCATAACGTTCATCGCTGTGAAGGGAGGGCTCAAAATATATTTACGTCAACAGCAGTTCATTAGACAAACGAAACGCAAAATTCTTAACTATAGAGAGTTTGCGGGAAGAGATGCTCGCAATTGAATCACAAATATATATATCAATCAATCAAATCCGCCTCTGAATTGTTTCTGATATTTATTTCATTGATTTTTCTTACAAAACATGTATTTATTTTTATTCTCTCTATAAATTGGTTAAATACAGTCGAGCATGGATATAATATACACATGAAATTTTCGAAAAGTGGGGATAATAACGATAAGTTGATTATAACGATACTATTTTAACATTATGTGAATGGGAACTGACTTTCAAAATATGGGGATTATAATGATTTGGGGATACTATTGAGTGTATATTATATCCATTCTCGACTGTAGTTATCAATACTAACAGTATATCAATAGCTATAATACCGTACAAATTGATTAAGTTTTTAATGATAACAAATGCATATTTTATTATGTTTTTTACAAATCAAATGTTTAAATACATTATAATATATTGAGAGGAATAACAGTATATAACGGATTATTATAAGTAAATTATTGTAAATCATTTTAATTGTCAAAAACTTGTTGTTTTTTTGTTATCAATTATAAGTATAAATATTGCTGAGAAAAAACATGACTATAAAAAATCTAATGATAAAGTTGGTCACTAACTGATTACTTTGGATTGACTTTGCTGTTGTTGAATAGCATCGTGATAATTGGGCAAACCGTTCATTTGTATGATGTGTTCGTACGACGGGGGAGGTGTGGGCGGCGGGTAGTTGTGTCCGCCACGGGTGGTGTGAGTGCTCTGTCTGTCGGTCGTGTAGTTTCTGTAATTGATTAATCCATTTGTGGGCAGAAAATGACTGGCGTTTGGATTGTGATTGAATATAGTGTTAAAGAGTTCGTAGTTATTAATGATGTGAAACAAATCAGATGATTGCATCTCCTGTTGTTGTTGTTGTGGCTGTGCTTGCGATTGTGTTTGCCTTCTGTCGTGACTTGTGTTACGAGCCATCGATTCGCTGATCGATTGCTCACCGAATCTATTGTTTAGGTTTGCGTTCATATAATAGATGCCAAACTGATTGTGAATTTTGTTCATTTTCTTGTAATAGGCGTTAAATACTCTGTAGAAGTAGTAGATTATTATACACGCGATTAACGCTAAAGCCAAGCGCCAGAATGTGTACCGAAGCGATCGGAATGCATAGCCCATGCATATGAATAGGGCTAATATGATCCCGATTATGGCTATTTAGTGGTAATCCATTATGGAGACAATTTTATTTTTTAATTGTTAATTTTAATTGTTATTTATACAAAATACAAAGTTATTTAATGATTCAAAATTTTTCATACTATACCTCCCATATAATCGGCGATTAAATTACACCCGAATTTCATGTTTAATTTGTAAATTTCTAGTCACAGAAACTATTATAATCGAGTATTTAAAACAAATATTTGAATAATAAAATTCATATCGATGAGTGAACTTTAAATTTTAAATAATAGTGCAAGTACACTTATTATGTAGACTTATTTTATTGCATTTGATCGATAAATTTGATAACACATTAATTATGATCATAAAATTTTGAAAAAAACATTGCATTTCGATATCATTTTAATGAATATTCGTGATATGCTTTGCTGTATACGATATTTTTTATGGCATAATATGTTATATAACTATAGTTATGGTAACAAACTATTGTATACATTGAATATTCTGTACTACAGAATCTACTGTCTCTTGCGATATATATCAGAAAAATAGATTTTTATTGAAATAATAAGTCAGTCGGTCTCTAATGTCAAACAACATGATAATTCTTGGTATAGAAAATGTATGAATAATTATATAAATCAAAAATGATATTTTTTAATGATAAAAACTAATTATACCATTAATTACTTTAGATATTTATTTTATAATAAAGAAAATCTTATAATAAAAACGAGAACAATTTTCAATCTAATAGATTATGAAATATAATTGCTTTTTATTTTTTGTTTTGTACTTTAATTGACTATAAATGGTTTAATAATCATTAACAACATTAATAAGCTCTTTATATTAATTATCATGCAGATAACTTATTCTGTATTAATCTTTAATGCATTGCAATATAAAAAACATTGAGTTCTTTAGCAATGAATAAAAATCAATTATAAGGACTTTGTTTATAGATATTGTTGAATGCAGTCAAACGAATAGCTGATGTCTTGATAAATCCATCGGCATTACTGGGCGTGAAGTCTCCCTGAATGTCCATACTTTACAAATGCAAACCATTGTTAGTGTCGATTAACTATTAATCAATCATTATTAATGAATACCTGACGAGTTGCTGATCGTATAGCGAATTGACAGCTTTTCGTCCTCTAATAAACGCATTTCCTTTGAAAAGTCGGATAATAACGAAACCATTGACCAGAGTTTGGCTCAATTTGAGACACGCCCGCATGTAATCGCATTCCGGCGAATACCACAAACCGTAATACACTTTTTCAGCAAATTCTTGCGCCAATTTGGCCCGTATTTTGTTTACTTCCTATACATTCATTGGTTAAACAAAAAAATAGTTTAGTTTAACAAAAAATCCTTAGTAAATGTCGACAAATTGTAGCATTCATTCAATACCCGATCCAAACAAAGTAACTCCAAGTCTCTGATAGCTGTCCACAGAATAGTTGCGCCGGGAGTCTCGTATACTCCGCGAGATTTCATTCCTATATACCGGTCCTCAACGATCTGAACATAGGATTACATTAATGTATTTGATAAACAAGAATGTAATCAATATAAATGTTTACATCAATTCTGCCGATTCCATGCTTTCCGCCCAATTTGTTCAGATACTGAAGAATCTCAACCGGTTTTTCGACTTTGACTTTTGTATACAAATTTTCAACGGCTTTCGGCAATCCTTTTTCAAATGTAATCTTAATGTCTTCGGCTTCGTTCGGCCATTCGCTGGGGTTTGCGGTCATTAAATACATGTCATCGATGGGCGGATGTAACGGGTCCTCCAAAACGCCCGATTCAAAGCTAATGTGCATANCGGCCATTCGCTGGGGTTTGCGGTCATTAAATACATGTCATCGATGGGCGGATGTAACGGGTCCTCCAAAACGCCCGATTCAAAGCTAATGTGCATAATATTGGCGTCAGTACTGTAGGGCTTGTCGGGTGTGGCGCCCACTTTGAAGCCATTTGTCTAAATTATAATATATATATTATGTCATTCACAAGCAATTAAATATAACGTACAGTACATCTGGATATAAATAAAATGTTTGTCAAATGTCTTACTTTAGCGTATTCTATGAGATCGAGTCTTCCTTGAAATCGATTATAGAATGAACTCATTCTCCACGGAGTTATACACTGTTTCGGGCATTCATTTAGAATTAATATCACATAAATGTTTATATAATAACTGTTTGAATACTTTGATTGTAGAGTTGAGAGACACACATGATAATTCAAACCGGATTTGATCGTTGCCTTTGCCGGTCGCCCCGTGGGCTATGTATTGTGCATTCTCTTCATTTGCTACTTTAACGATACCTTTGGAAATGCAGGGCCGACACAGGGATGTGCCCAACAGATACCGGCCCTGATATATGCCTCCGTAGGACAGCGACGGGTATACAAATTCTGTGACAAATTCTTCAATCCTATTGTCAACGATTGCCTATAATTATGTTATTTAACGTAAGAATAAAGCAATATTTAATACAATAGACAAATGCATACTTTAATGGCACCGAGTTTTAAGGCTTGTTGTCTCACTTGTTCCAAGTCTTCCTCCTGACCGACGTCTGTCTTTTATTTGTATAAATATTTTAAGATTTATTTTGAGACACAATAATGATATAATTACTGTATAACAGATCACTTGATAGCCCTGTTCTTTGAGCCAAAACAGTATGCAAGTGGTGTCCAGACCTCCACTATAGGCCAATACAACTTTCATTTGATTGCCCGAAGACATTATACAGACAACTCAATGGTTTTATCGATCACTAAACTTACAATTATTCAAACAAAAGTTAGTTTGATTTGTATATAAGTTTGTGTTAAATGACATCTTTATATACAACACTTCCAGACAATTATCACTAAAATGTTTATCAATTTATTTTTAATAAATTCATGATTTGCTATCAATACATATTGGACCGGATGTTTAGTTATTGATATAACTTATACAACATATCACTTAAAATATGTAAAGAATATTTCGCAAAAATCTGTCTCACCAAGTACATTTTTAGGCATATTTCAGATCACCTTTAAAATAATTATTTGGTACAATATTATGCATTCAGATTTATAAAATTTATCTAGATTAGTTTAAAATAGGATAAAATATTTTAGTTTAACTTATTATGAAGTAATCCATAGTATCATAGTTGTCACTAACTGTGGATTTACTGTATTAATAATGTCGGTAAATTGACAACAAGATTATTTTTACCATAAACGTCAAATTCAAGTCAATATTTTGTTTATTTTAACTCTTATATCAAAGTGTGTTTAAGAAAACATTTCATTTTTGATTAGATAATTAAATTATCACTAAATTTTAAGTTCAAATTCTGTGGTTATATTTTACATTCTGTTTTTTAATTGAAAATATTGTCTCTGTGTAAAGCTTTTAAGTTACGAAGTTTTATATAATATCATAAAATTTTAAACATGTAATTCAAGAATTTGGTTTATAATGTTATATACATTCTCTAAACACATAAGAATTCAAAGAATTTGTATAATTAACAAAGTATTAAATATATGAACTAGACACTTTAGTGTGGCTTAAAATTAATTGATTTTTGTAATTAATATTTAAAACAATAAAATTCTAGATTCTGGCCTACAATCACATCAATCATAAATTTAAAGCATAAATCTAATTAAACTTTTTATAGCGGAAACTAATCTATCATTTTTGTAGTACAAAATACGCGTTGAAATCCAAGACAAAACCGATTAAAACTAGAATTTTGACGATAAGATTGAATATAAACCACATATTATTTGATACATAATATGATTC